TGTATCGCCAAAAGTGCGACTGATGTGCGCTGGAACACTCCTGGCTCAGAACTTGGAGCTGTTATCAGCTCAAGGAAACGTTTCTAACAGGCTCATTCATTTTTCTGGTGCAGGTGGACCGGAAAAATGAACCTTCCAGTGAGATTAGTGGATACAGAGGGGAATATTAATTGTCCTTCYCCATTCTGACACTGATAATTTTAGCCTGCAATTCGTTCCCTTGAGACACCCGAAGGTGAATTCTCACTAAGGAAAAGGAGCAAGAATGAAATGTTTCCTTCAGGCTTAGCTGAACTTTTATTTTTGCTGCCGTTCTCCCCTAAAACATGAAACAACAACAGTTTGTGATGCTTTCAAACGGGTTAAATTTCATCTTCGATCCGTCTCTCTCCCTGCTGGGAGTTGCTGAGATGGTGCCGAGGAGTGAAAGTTGACTTCGGTGCGCGCAACGACTCCGTTCAAAACCTCGCAAAGACGAGCATCTCCCAGCACGTCAAACCCGCCTCAGCTGTCATTCTGCCCCCGGCRTGAGGGATCGAGCGCTCTGGAGGGGAATCTCTCTTCCTGCAGAAGGAAATGATCAGCGCTCACCGAACCAGTTGCTTTTTTTTCCAACCCCTTCGCTCCCCCGCTGCCCCYCGCCCCTTCTTTTTGCAGTCCGAGGAAGAAAATCGCTCGGAGCCATTGGCAGAATGAAACCCTCGGGGCGGAAAGTTCTGGGGATCGGGAGGGACCCTGAGATCCAGGGGGATGCGGGGGGTGCCGGKCCCCACTCCCTTCCCCTCCCTCCGCCGCAGAACCGCGGAGTCGGAGCCGCTCCCGSTGCGGGAACCCCTTCCCAAATCCCCGGTTCGCGTTTGTAATCGTATTTGCGGCACGGCGGGTGCGCTGCTGGAGGATCCCTCGCTTTACCGGGGTCTAGAAGGTTTTTTGGGGTTTTTTTTCCGCCCATCTCTCCCTGATTTCCGCGGTGCCGTTTACCTGCCGGCGGATCCGACTCCCCGAGCCGAACCGCGGAAATCCCTAAAGTTCAAATCCAGATTTATCGCCGGTGGCGSGGGTTTAAACGCCGCTTTTAACCGGGTGATTTTCATACCCATAGTCTGCGTCCGGGCTTTTCGCTCGGTTTAGGCACAATTTGAGCTCGAAAGGAGGAATCCAGAGCAGGATCTTATAATTTCAGAAGTATCCAAGGACTCCTCGTCTTTTCGCAGTGTATTTTAAAGGCGAGAAACTTGGTTGGGGGAGCAAATTCTGCTTCCCCGCCCGGAGCGATCGTGGGGAGGGGGCGCCCCGCAGCCCCCGCGGGGACAGGAGGGGGCCGGAGCTCCCCGCATCTGCGCCTCGGGTGCCCAATTCTGGTGGCAGCTGTTTGGGGCGAGGGGAGCGCATCCCCCCTGACCCGCGGCGCTGCCCTCTGACCCCGCCGCCAATCCCTAAAAGCGGGGGTCCCCCGGGGCCGCGCCACACGAGTCCCCTTTGTTCGCGGCGCTGGAGCCACCGGGCTGGGGCCCGAGCCGACCTTGCGGGGACAAACTCGGCTTTATCCCCCGGAGAGAGGGGCTCGGGGGATTGGGGAGCGATCTCTCCTTGGGAACGCCCCGGCCAAGGTCGCAGCCAGCGGGGATTGAGCCCCCTCCCCTTCCGCCGCTGCCCCCCGGTTTGGGGATAAACGCAGGGACGGTCAGAGTGGCATTGCCAGATATGATCTTAGTACAGAGAGGGGGCTTTTCTTCGAGGAAATGTCCACGCGCCTATTGGAAATGGTTAAAAAAAAAATAAAAAAATCACCATAATACGCCTTACAGTCGCCTGTGTATTTATCTCACACGCTCTGGTTTCTCACTCCTTTTTATGTATTATTATTATTATTATTATTATTATTATTATTATCTCACCCTGTTTGCTTGGTTTGGGCTTTTTCACACACAGAAATCTCATCTCGGAGATGCTGAGCTCATACCTTGAAGCATCGGCCTCCACTCCACAGCTCCGTGGAGCTGCTGCCGCTTTCCTCCAGCGTTAAAACAACGCCAGCCTCGCCTTTTGCTAACCTGGCAAATTCGCTGCCTGCATATTTATCAATTTGGGGAGGTGGGTTCGCATGGCAAATGTCCTCCCACAAAGATTGGGTGAGATGTATTAGTTCATCCAATGCCATGTCTGTCACTTATGTAGACAGAATAAATCTGAGTCCCGGCTTTGCCCTCAGTCGTGCCTGAATTAAGGATACATTTTTATGAAAGTTTTATGGGAGGATTTTAATTTGCGGTCATTCTTGGAGAGAACTGAATGAAACTCCTTGAAAATGATTTAGTCTTTAATAGGTGGCTTTTTGAAAGGCGGCTGAATGTGGATGGAAGCAGCTCGGATTTATTCTGAAATTGAAATTATAGTTTTAACTCGTTAAAAAAAATATAAATAAAGCAGGTTAAAGAGAGGAGCTGCACATAATGAGTCCAGGAAATCCTTGCGCTGTCCCTTTAACTACCGAACATCTGATTCCCTCATCTGGCAGATGGTCTCTGAGCACAGATTTGCATTCATTGTCTTGAAATCTGTTTTCGCGTTGGTGTTATATAGATTTCAGAGGCAGATCCATACACGGATCAGAATACAAAAGGGCCGGGAGGGAAATATCGCCGAGGCAGAGCAGTTGAAAAAAAAAATAAATTAAAAGAAATGCAGACGTAGGTACGGTCCCGGGTCAGCGCGGGCCGGGCTGGGAAGGGCTCCGGTTTCCTTTAATGGGAAATGCTGCCTACACGGGATGTTTAAAAAGTTTTAAGGCGAGACCTGACAGCTCTCAGGGTGCGACTCTGGSGTCTGCTGGGTGCCCGGCGGTCTCGGCTGGCTCCTGCCCTGCGGGGACCCTCTGCCTCCAGCCCCAGACCCATTTCGCTCCCTCTGAACAYTTTTAATTTTTAAATCCCGCGCCCGAGAGCGAAGCAGCCGCTCCCTGTGCGGTTTTGGACAGAGAGCGCTGCTTTTAGCACGGTTTGGGTGTTGTGGGGCGGGACAGGTCGGGTGACATCTGTCGGGACATCGCGATGAGCCCGCGGCTCCCGTGCCCGGCTCCGCCTGTCCCGGGACGGGCGCCGGGCGCGCTCCTCCGGCTCCGCTGCTTTTGACACAGTTTGTGCGTTCTGGGGCAGCACCGCTCGGGGTGAGGCTGCCGAGCGCTGGCCATAACCCATCACGATAAACTATCGCGATAAACGCGCTGTTCCCCTGCCGGGCTCCGGCTGTCCCACGCTCCTTTCAGCCCGACCGAGCAGCTTTAGCACAGTTTGCGCTCTCCGGGGCAGCACCGCTCGGTGTGGGACAGCGGGACTGTGACCATGACCCGATYCCATGTYCCATCYCCATAACCCGATCGCTTCATCCCYATCGCGACATCCTTATGGCGACATCCCTATCGCGACATCCCCGCCGTCCTCCTGCCCGGGCGCCCTCCTTCCCCCCCAACCCGCAGCTCTGGGGCAGCGCCGCTCGCTGTAGGGCTACCRGGCTATGTCCAKAACCCGATCCCATGTCCCATACCCATAACCCTATCGTGATATCTCCATCGCTTCATCGCCATCGCGACATCCCCRCCGTCCTCCTGCCCAGGCACACTCCTTCCCCCCTCGATCCCGCTGCTTTAGCACAGTTTGCGCTCCCTGGGGCAGCACCGCTCGCTGTAGGACCGCGAGACTGTGACCATAACCCACCCCATAACCATATCGCGACATCCCCATCGCGACATCCCCGCCGTTCCCCTGCCCGGGCGCGCTCCTTCCCCCACGACCCCGCTGCTCTGGGGCAGCGCCGCTCTCTGTGGGGCTACGGGGCCATAACCCGATCCCATGTCCCATCCCCATAACCCGATCCCATGTCCCATCCCCATAACCCGATCGCGATATCTCCATCGCTTCATCGCCATCGCGACATCCCCACCGTCCTCCTGCCCAGGCACACTCCTCCCCCCCTCGATCCCGCTGCTTTAGAGCAGTTTGCGCTCCCTGGGGCAGCACCGCTCGCTGTAGGACCGCGAGACTGTGACCATAACCCACCCCATAACCATATCGCGACATTCCAATCGCGACATCCCCGCCGTTCCCCTGCCCGGGCGCGCTCCTTCCCCCACGACCCCGCTGCTCTGGGGCAGCGCCGCTCTCTGTGGGGCTACGGGGCCATAACCCGATCCCATGTCCCATCCCCATAACCCGATCGCGCCGTCCCCATGGCGACATCCCCATCGCTTCATCCCTATCGCGACATCCACTCCGTCCCCCCCGCCGCCCCGGCCCCGCGTGGAAGGGGCGGGGAGGGGGCGGAGCGCGGCCTCGCCTCTCGACCAATCGCGGCTTAATATGCAAATGAGATGCCCTTATTTGGGCGTCGGCCCCGCCCCCCGCGCGCCGCCCGCTCCCACCGTGTAACCCATTCATGTCGCSGCGCGGGAACGGCCGGCGCTGCCCGCGCTCGGGGTGGGACCGGCCGCTCTCCAGCTCCGTTTCTCCCTTTCTTTTGGCGATTTCCCCCGAGCCTGTGATTTGTTTTTTTTTCATTTTTTTGTTGTTGTTGTTTTTCCTTCCTTTCTCCTTCCTGGATTAGGCAGCGAGCGATCCCTGTCCCCGCTGTCTGTTTGAGGAGCAGGTGATGCTGGTGAGCGGCGYTCGGTTTGCTGGATGCGGCTCCCTCGCCTGCGTGTGAAGGATGRTGATACCAGGCAAGGCTGAAGCAGCGTAACTTTTACTTGGCAAGAGGAAAAACTTTCTTCYCCGTCTGAAGGCGTGAAAAACACGTAGCGTTAAAAAGCAGAAGAAGTTGGTTTCAAAGCTGAACTTCACTTTTCCTGGGATTTGTGTGTGTCAGATTCAAAGGCTGCGTCGTTTTGATCCTCTTTTTCTTTTCTTTTTTTTTTTTTTTTTTTTTCGACCACCGAGATCTACACTCTTTTTCTTCTCTCTTATCTCCCGAAAGGAAACTGTTGCTAGTTGGAATAGACATTTTAAATGTTTGGGATTCAAGATACTTTAGGAAGAGGACCGATTCTGAAAGATAAATCTCTAGGTTCTGAGATGGATTCCGTCAGGTCCTGGGTCAGGAACGTTGGGGTTGTGGATGCAAACGTAGCAGCACAAAGGTAACCGTGACTGTTTCTCCCCCGTTTTCCCCCTGCTTGTTATTTTTTCTTCCCAAGCAAGACTTTTCCTTACTCCCCGTCGTTTGCATTTCAGATTAAATTTATTTTCTCCTTTGTCCCCGTCCCGGTCTCCTTCACTCAAGGTGGTAGCCAGAGCTAGGCAACAGCGCTCCAAAACCGGAGAGAGCATCAGGAGCCCTAAAATGCAGTTCGGGGCTCGGATGACAGCGGGATCGGATCATCCTTTCATTTTCTGCCCCGGGAAGGAGTGCAGGGCGCTGGGCTGGTTGTTCCCGGCGATCCGGGCTGCTCCTCGCTCCCTGCCGGGCCAGAGAGCGGGATAGAAGGGAACTAAGCCAGAATTAACTTCAGTGGGGATGTCAAACCCCAGCCCCSGGCCCGTTTGTTTTTCAATTCACGGTGGGCATTTCCAGAATGGGTTCAGGGCAGGCAGAGCAGGGTCCGAGGGAGCAGCGGGGAGGGCACCGCGGAACCCCGCGGGCATCCCGCAGCCCGCCTGGAGCACCTGCCCGAGCGYCCGAGAGCTCTCCGCCGAGCCCAAATGTCCCTAAAGACCCCGAAATTTCGGCTCGACTGTTTGTTTCTCGTTTCTTTGGGCGAGTTATCTCCCTKCACGCCCCTCTTTTATTTTCTCTTCCCAGCCAAATCGGCACAGGACAGTTATCCCAGTCTCTTCCCGTTAGGGATAAGATGATGAAAACCCTTTTAGGTGGTTTTTTTTTTCCCCTTCTTGCTCTCTGGATGGCTTTAATAAAAAAAAAAAAAAAAAAAAAAAAAAAAAAAAAAGTTAAAAGAAAGGAAAAAAAAATGTAGTAGCGTAGGGGAAGACTAAATTGGGAGTCCCGGGGAAGAAGTCGAGTTTTATTTAGGATTGGAGACGAGGTGAAGGGCACGAAACAGCAGAAGGGACTTGGGATGGAACAGGGACGTTTTRGAAATAGCACATCCGTGCCCCCAGCGCGGCCCGATCCGGCAGCACGGTCTCCCAAGCGCCATGGGAGGAGTTATCAGAGTTTTACGAACGCCGATAGAGCGTTTAATAAATTCGGCTGAAGGGGGGAAGAGGTTTATCCTCGAGGAAAGCGAAAGTAAAAGGAAGCGGCTGCTGAGGAGGCTCCGGTTGACGGCAGCGCCGGAGGTGCGGCCGCTCCGCGCTGCCCGCTGGCATTCCCAGTTTTCCCATCCCGGATATTCCTTTAACAAACCGATAAATCCGATTTTTTTTTTTCCTCCCAGAACGAGAGGCAGCCCCAGAGTAGGTGCGGTTGTGGCGGGTGCGGTGAGTTCACACCGTCCCTCCCCGGCGAGGAAAACACGGGGAATCATCTGCAGCTCTCCCAAAGACTMCGATACTTTTGGCGATGCTGTGGAGCTGTTTCGGGGGCTGAAAACCAAACCTGTCCGGTTCCTCACCAGTCTGGCACAGACTTTATCTGTCTATTTATTAATTTGGAGGTGCTCACGTGCCCCTATTTTCTCCGCAGTGGGTAGAAATTGGCTTCGGGGAGAGGGAACTCAAATTCCACAAAAAAAAAAAAAATAAAGCTGCAGTCAGGGATGTTGGGGAGAAACAGAAGCATTTGAATCTTTCCGAGCCGGGAAACGCGTGAGAATCATCACGGCGTTTTCTGCAGCCGGGGACAAGATTTAGGCAAAGGCTGATTCACCCGAGTTTAAATTCTTTCCGTTGAAATCAGAGATCGGAGGCGCAGGAATGGGTTCAAGTTGAGTCAGTGATTAAGAAAAACTCCGCTGCCGAGGGAAGCGACCGCTCTGCTGAAAGTCCCTGCCCAAAGCGGAGCTCCACAGGGCTCTTTTAGGGTTTCGCCCGCAGGAAAAAGGACCGGGATGTGCCCAGAGCACTTCCAGASCCCTCTGACACGTTCCAGCCCCTTCCCAGCGCCGCATTCCAGCCGGGAGCGGGACAGGCAGGGAAATAGGTGGGGAAGGAAAACACAGGCTCTGCTTTTAGCCTTCAGCGAGAACCCCTGTGCCCATCACAGGGGAGCGGGGCCGCGCCGCAATTTGGGGTTCCGGGGCCGGCCCCATCCCGGTCAAAGGGACGCTCCGAGCGCGCTCTGCCTTTTCTGTCGATGTTTTATTTTTATTTTTCTTTTTTTTTTTTGCCGTTGCTGCTGCACAACCTGGTAATGTCTTTGTCTCTCCCCCCCGACCCCATCCCGTGTGTTTCCTCCACAGCGGAGTAGCTTTGTCCAGAGCTCACTTTGAAAAGCAGCCACCCTCCAACTTGAGGAAATCCAATTTCTTTCACTTTGTTCTGGCTCTCTACGACAGACAGGGGCAGCCCGTGGAAATAGAGAGGACAGCTTTTGTGGACTTTGTAGAAAATGATAAAGTAAGGCTCGCTACCTTTCTTCTTCCTCTTTTCCTCTCCGGTTTTGGTTTTCTCCCCCCTCGTTGGGCTCCCAGATCCCGGTACCTGTTCCCAATAAAACCCAGCCCGGRTTTGGGCAGGGTTCAGGTGTTGTGGTAGCCCCGCGTGTTCTGCTGCGGTTTAAAAGGGTTTGAAACCTCTGCTCTGTGTCAGGAATTTCATTCACCTGCTAGAAATGAAATMAATTAAATTCATGGGGGATAAATGAATTTTTTTTTGTACCTACCAGATCTGCCAGGTTTTATCAGTACCGGAGCAGAAGTGGAATCTGAGCTGTAATGTGTCAGATGAGCTGTTGATCGTGGTTCTGTGCATTTCCTAAAGCTCCAAAATCAATGGCAGGACTCGAAAAACATTTGCTTTTGGATTTTAATTCCATGTCTTGACCACTTCGCATTTTTTCAATTATTTTCTTGGCCACCAACAGGATTTTGAAAAATTTTGAGTCATAAATAATTCTCCTAATAGGAAATCACGTTTTAAAGAAGTGTGAGAAACATCTCTCTTCKGGAAATAAATACCAACATTAACTCAAAACAACCCAATTGCAAAGCAGTGGCTGCAGAAAAATCAAAACCCACAGGAAAACATCAGTTTTCCCCCCGTCAACTGATTAAAAATGCTCAAATTTCTTCCCTTGCAAAAGTTGAGAGTGTAATGGTGAATGAGGGAGGGAAAGAARTTCCTGAGCTCCTGCAGGAACGGATTTTGTGGCTTGTCCTGGGTCACTCGGARGGTTCATACACCCCAATCAGAGCATTCACCTCGCAGAATTTAAATGCACTTTGTTGTCACTTCCATCGTGGTTATCAGCCCTTGCATTTTAAATGTGCCGAGGGTAAGTTCTGGAAGGACTTTTTTTCCCCTCTAATTTTAATTTTTTTTTTTAATTATTTTTAATTTCTAATTCCCTCTCAGGAGCAAGGCAACGAGAAGACCAACAACGGCACTCACTACAAACTGCAGCTCCTCTACAGCAACGGTGAGTCCTGTGCAGGGTCTGATGCCCAAAATACCCCAAAATTCCCTKGAATGAGACCATCAGGGCAGGGATGGGCCCTGGAGTTCACCAGGGCAGGGCAAACGGAGCTCCCCGGGGTGCTGAGGGCTTTTGATCGGGCTCTGAAAGGGTTCATAATGCTGCTTTTAGGGCACGGTGCCTGTAGGGCGCCATTTACCCCTGTAGGGTGTCATTTACCCCTGTAGGGTGTTATTTACCCCTATGGGATTTGATTTAACCCTGTAGGGTGTGATTTACCCCTGTCGGACATTATTTAGCCCTGTAGGATGTGATTTACCACTGTAGGGTTTTATTTACCCCTTTAGGACATGATTTGCCTCTGTAGGACATGATTTACCCCTGCGGGATGTGATTTACCCCTGTAAAACATTCTTTATCCCTACAGGACATTATTTACYCTYRTAGGGTGTTATATAACCCTGTAGGATATTATTTCTCCATGTAGGGCACTATTTATCCCTGTAGGGTGTGATTTACMCCTCTAGGATCTCATTTACCCCTGTAGGACATTATTTACCCCTGTAGGGTGTTGTTTGCCCCTGTAGGATGTGATWAACCCSTGTAGGATATCCTTYATCCCTACAGGACATTAWTTACCCCTGTAGGGCATTATTTACTCCTGTAAGATSTTGTTTACCCCTSTAGGGTGTTATTTACCCCTGTAGGATACTATTTGCCCCTATAGGGCATTATTTGCCCCTGTAGGACATTTTTTCTCCCTGTAGGACATTCTTTACTCCTGCAGGACATTCTTTACTCCTGTAGGACATTCTTTTTCCATGCAGGGCATTATTTACCCCTATAGGGTGCTATTTGCCCCTCTAGGACAATTTTTCTCCCTGTAGGACATTTTTTACCCCTGTAGGACATTTTTTACCCCTGTAGGACATTTTTTTCCCCTGTAGGACATTTTTTGCTCCCTGTAGGATATTATTTCTCCCTTTAGGAAATTTTTTCTCCCTGCTCTCCCCTCCGCAGGTGTCAGGACCGAGCAGGATCTCTACGTGCGGCTCATCGATTCCGTCACCAAGCAGGTGAGCCCTGGGCTGGCCCTTCCTCTTCTTCCAACATTTCCCTTCCATTTCCCTTCCATTTCCCTTCCATTTCCCTTCCTTTTCCCTTCCATTTCCCTTCCATTTCCCTTCCTTTTCCTTTCCATTTCCCTTCCTTTTCCCTTCCATTTCCCTTCCTTTTCCTTTCCATTTCCCTTCCTTTTCCCTTCCTTTTCCCTTCCTCTTCTCCCAACATTTCCCTTCCTTTTCCCTTCCATTTCCCTTCCATTTCCCTTCCTTTTCCCTTCCATTCCCTTCCATTTCCCTTCCTTTTCCCTTCCTTTTCCTTTTCTTTTCCCTTCCCTTCTTCTTTTTGACCTTTCCTCAGCTCTACTGCAGAACTTTTTCAGAGGGAAATCAAAAATTCTTCTCCCGAGATCTTTTTTTCCCCTCTCTGGACTGTCCGTTTTTCCCACTTTGTGGCAATATTTATGAATTTCTACCCTGCATGTAAAAGGTGACGATTTGCAGGGTTAAAAACCCTTCCCCTCGCACCTGAACMTTCTCAGGAATAAATAACCCCAGGAGCTGCTGCCTCACCCCTGCTCTCCATTTCACAGCCCATCACTTAYGAGGGCCAGAACAAGAACCCCGAGATGTGCCGGGTGCTGCTCACCCACGAGGTCATGTGCAGGTAAGAGCGTTTTATTGGCTCAGCATTCCGGACTTGGTTTATCCAGCGTTTCTGACTTGGTTTATTCAGCATTTCTGACTTGGTTTATCCAGCATTTCTGACTGTATTCACCCAACATTTCTGACTTTATTCACCCAACATTTGCGACTTTATTCACCCAGCATTTCCAACTGTACTCACCCAGCATTTCTGACTTTATTCACTCATTATTTCTGACTTTATTCACTCATCATTTCCGACTTTATTCACCCAGCATTTCTGACTTTATTCACTCATCATTTCTGACTTTATTCACCAAACATTTCTGACTTTATTCACCCAGCGTTTCTGACTTTATTCAACTGGCATTTCTGACTTTATTTACTCATAATTTCTGACTTGTTTCACAAGCATTTCTGCCTTGATTCCCCCAACATTTCTACCTTTATTCATCCAACATTTCTGCCTTKATTCCCCCAACATTTCCGCCTTTATTCACCCAACATTTCCGACTTTATTCACCCAGCATCTGCGATTTTATTCCCCAATATTTCTGCCTTTATTCCCCCAGCATTTCTACCTTTATTCCCCAACATTTCTGCCTTGATTTCCCCAACATTTCTGCCTTGATTTCCCCAACATTTCTGCCTTGATTTCCCCAACATTTCTGACTTTATTCCCCCAACATTTCTGACTTTACTCCCCCATCATTTCTGAGCTTTTCTCCCCCACATCCTGGAAAGGCCTTTCTGAGGAAGTTTTGTGTGCAGAGGTTTGGATTTCCTCGTTTGTTTATTTTCTTGTTGACTCAGAGAGGATCTCTCTGCAGGAAGAGTTTCTTTTTACACGTGGGTAATGCTTGCTTGGGTTCAAAACAGATATTTTTATTTTTTTTTMAATTTTTTTTTTGCCTGCAGCAGATTCAGCCACCACAGCTGCACTATTTTTGCTTAAAGCAGGCCTTTGTATGTGTTGCTTAAATCAAGATTTTTATATTATTATTTCCATAAAATTTCTGCTCACCTGATAAGAATGAGCAGTTTAACTTCTGTATTTTTACCTAGAAACTGCAAGGGTGCTCTTTGTATCATTTCCTTCGATGAAACATTTTAATTTCCTTAATTAAAGCATCACCGTTAATGTGCTTTATTAATTTTGCATAATTCTGCCCTGGCAAAAAGAGAAACCCCTCAAACCAAAACACAAATCCTTCCTTTCCGTACACGTGACCGATATTTAGAGGCCTTCCGCTTTTGAATTTTTAAAAAAAGGGTTTATTTTTAGCACTAAAATTTCTAAATTAGCCAGTGAAATGCCTGGAGGATGTTTTTAATAACATTTGTATAAGTCTGAACTTACATGTACCTTATGTATGTACCTCGTGCTTCCATGGTAACTTATTACTTCTCCTGTCCTTGGTTAATTAAATTTTTTTTTTTTAATTTCAATACATCCAACAATGCAAACAGCCGATGTTCTCATATTAAARTGGGCTAAAATGTTTGAAAAAACATGCGTGGAACGTTCCTTCATGAAACGGGAGGCAAACCCCACGTGTGACCTTTATGAAACACAGTTTRTGATTTATTTTATCGCTGCTGCCAGGGGGTTAAATTTAAAATCGCTGGAATCAACGTCGCTCCTTTTAATGCTGCACTTTGCTACTTGACTGGTACTTTTTAATTATTATTTTTAAGTTGTTTAAAGTATTTTTTAATTATTTTTTAAGTGAATGTAGCACTGGGAGAAGTTGATTTGGAATTTTTATCAGGGGGAATTCTCGGTTTCAGTTCTTAATTGCGTCAACGATTCTGTTACTTTTTGATATAAAAGGATCGAGTGYTCGATGTGAAACAAGTTCATTGCTTCTCTGCTCTGCTCAGCTCTCATTAATTAAGCAAATGAGCTTTTGACCAATATTTCCATATTTAAGGCCAAACACGAGGTCTGTCACCTCTGAGGGACGCTCTGGGCGGGATTTACAAGGACCCGGTGAGGCRATGGCAAAGATCAAAGGTGGATGAGTGACTTTGGGGCACATTCAGAGCTCGTGCATATAATTATATATTTATCTAGAATTATATATTTATAAAATGTGTGTATGGATGCAAATATACATCCCTGTTGTTGAGAGATTTCGCTAGAATTGGTGAAAATTAGAGAAGAAAAATCAGATTTCTGGTGCAGTTGATGTGGTGGCAAAGGTCAAAGGTGGATGAGTGACTTTGGGGCASATCAGAACTCGTGCATATAAATATATATTTATACAATTATATATTTATATTTATATGTGTATCCATGCTGTTGAAATGTGTCACTGTAACTGATGAAAATTAGAGCAGAAAAATCAGATTTCTGGTGCAGTTCATGCAGTGGCAAAGATCAAAGGTGGATAAGTGAGAAGTGATTTTGGGGCACATCCAGAACTCGTGCATATAAATATATATTTATACAATTATATATTTATATTTATATGTGTATCCATGCTGTTGAAGATTTTTTTTGTAACAGGTGAAAATTAGAGAAGAAAAATCAGATTTCTGGTGCAGTTGATGTGGTGGCAAAGATTAAAGGTGGATGAGTGACTTTGGGGCACATCAGAACTCATGTATATAATGATATATTTATATAAAATGATATATTTATATATAATTGCATATTATAAAATGGGTATATGGATGTACATGTGCATCCATGTTGTTGAAAATGTTTAACTGGTGAAAATTAGAGAAGAAAAATCAGATTTCTGGTGCAGTGGCGAGGATCAAAGGTGGATGAGTGACTTTGGGGCAGATCAGAACTCGTGTATATAATTATATATTTATATTTATATCTGCATCCATGCTGTTAGAGGGTTTAACTGTAAATGGTGAAATTTAGAGCAGAAAAATCAGATTTTTGGTGCTGTTGGGTGGTGGTTTGTGATGCCAAACCAGCCCTGAGCCCATTTCATCTCTCCCTGCCGAGCTCTGCTCTGGAAGTTCAACTCTTCCAGCACCTTCTGCCTCAAACGAAGCTGTTTGATTTTAAATTAATTTGGGTTTTCCCACTCCCTCTCCCCATATTTGACCCCACATTTGATGGGATCAAATGCTCAGCTCAGCTCTGACCCTCCCGAGCTCCAGCGATGCCCCCAAACCTCCTCCGCGCCCGATTTGAGGCGGCGCCCTACGAACCGGAGTCATTATTCTGATTATTCTGATTATTCTGATTATTCTGATTATTCTCAGCTCTGCTGCTCCGCAGATTAACCGAGGAGGAATTACAACCCGGGGACGTCCTTCCCGTGTAAAACACGGATTAGGGAAGGAAATCCAAAGCTCTCTGTACCCTAATCAAGACGTTTGATTCGAAACGTCGCCTTTTCCCGCAGCATCTCCGACGCCTCACTCCGAATCGCGCCGGGGGAACGGCTCCAACTCCAGTTCAACTTGACATTTGATTGCGTTTCTTTTAAGCACAATAATCAAATCTTCCTCATTGTGCRCCGCTTAAGTGGCAGCATCAATTTTTAAAGGCCCCGGTTTAGTTTGCGTCAGGCGCAGCGGATGAAATTTTAATGCGCTGTACCCACTCTGCTGTCGAGGTTGATGCCTCCTCCTTTTGAAAASGAAAACAAGAAGGGTCTGTCTGTCTTTCTGCTCCTCTTCCAATCCTCCCTAGTTGAAGGTTGGGTTTGTTTTTGTTTTGTTTTATTTATTTTTTTTTGTAGGGGGGATTTTTTTCCGTCCGTAACCGCACGCGGAGATATTTCATTCGCCGCGCCTCTGCGAGCGCCCGTGCGCGCCTCAGACAGTGACAGATGCCTGCTTAGCAGGAAAGTTGTCTAAATATTGATACGGCTGCGCCAATCTGTCAGAGCCATTGAAAGTTCAGCTCTCAATAATTAGTGCTTTCAGCGCTTCCAGGCCGGGAGGCTCCGGTTATTCCTTCCCAATC